AATCCATAAATTCCTAGCAAAGCAAACAAGGCTGTTTTACTTTGCAGGCAAACTCTTCTTCTGGGCTGATTTTTCATGGTTTTGAAACCAAAGTAATCCCTGCAAGGAGCTGTACACCTTGTACCCCCTGTGCAATTCCAGGGGGAGCTGCACACACTTCCCACTTTTCCAAGGAGACATCTCCCTTAATTCCATGCACTAGTTGCACCAGGGAGCAGTGATTCAGCACTTCTCCTCTTTAAAGTGCTGAAGGGAATTGCAAATATTTTGGAAGAGTGCCTATTTTTATTATTTAAAAGCAAATCCATCCCCCAGAAGCAGCTTTACCTGCAAGGCCAGGGCCGAGCAGCTCCTCTCCTGCTGCCCATCCCGGAGCACAGGGGAGCAGGGAGCTGACTCCAGGGGTGCCCACGAGGAATGGAAATGCTGGTTTTCCAGCTTTCTGCCTGCAGCCATTTTTCATCATCTGTCAGCACCGCCGGAGCTCCTTTGGAAATGCAAACAGCCCCTCCCAAGGGCTCGGTGCAAGCTCCAGGTCTGCGGGGCAGTGGGGAATAGAGAGCACGGAATTCGAGATAAAGAGAGGGGGAAAAAAGCCAAGCTCGGTAGGTTTCAAAGCCTTCAATTTGTTTAACAATTCAGCACAGGCACTGCCCGGGGGCTGCTGCCCAAACACGCCCGGCAATGCCGGGCAGATCCAAGGATTTACGGTCCTTGCTGGGTTTTTGTTGCTTTTTCACCCCAAATGTTGGTTTTTCTCCCTTATCCTTCTCCTGCAGGAGCTGCCCTTTGGCTCTGAGCCGGGAATAACCCCGATAACCCTGCACATGGAATGGGGCACAGAGGGCAGGGCTGGGTTTCCATCCCTGTGCATCCCATCCCTGTGCATCCCTGAGCCGGAATAGGAACACCCCGGGAACCTGGGGCGGTCAGGAAGTCATTCCACACTCATTCATGGATTTTATCCTTCCCCTGGATCAGGAGCAGCACCTGGATGTGCTGCAACAGCACGGAATTCCTCACTCCTGCTGTGATTACAGCAAAGGTGGAACTGCTTTGGGATAGACCTGGAATCTTAACGTGGGGACTCCAGGGACTGTTGTATCCAATGGGATTCCCTTGGGATGGGGGCTGGGGGGTTAACATGGGTTGGGGTTGGCACATCCCTCTTTCCATGTCTGAGCAGAGCTGGTGATCCCTCTCACCTGGAGTTGGGACTGGAATTTGTGACTGCACTGCTACTTAATGTCATTTAAAAAAAATTATGTATATATATATATATATAAATATTAAATAATTAACTGGTTATTTACTAATACAATCAACATAAGTATATAAAATTCTCTATAACATTAATAGAATAATATTAAAATTTATTTTATTAAAATTTATTAAAATTTATTTATTTTAACAAACCAGACAGAATTTTATCTCAGAGAATTCATCTCACAGCCCAAACCATTTGGAAGTGCCGCTGGGAGGGAATATTATAATTATTTCTGCACATGGGATTTTTCCTTTCTTTCCCTCTGCTGTTCCCTAAAAAGGCAGAATGTATCTTGTTTATTTTCCTGTGCTTATATGAGGTGATACTGTGGTTTTCCTTAAAATTCAAAATACAAATATTTCCCCAAAATAATCTCTAATAAGATGTAAAAGACCCTCTGTAGGGTTGGAATATTATAATTTCCTCTCTGTCACTGAAGATTGTTTAATTATTTACCAGGATGGGCTTGTGCTGTTACATGCCTGGGAATTAAAACTGAATAAAAAATAAAAGGGATTGGTTAAAATTCGATTAATATACATGTTCTTTAGGTGTTTCCAGGGTCCATAGAAGTGATTTCCAAACGTTTTCTGTCTGCAGGTTCTCACAGCACAGCTTCTGGTGCTGGGCTCTGTGATCCTGCTGGAAATCTCTTGGGAATTGTCATTTATTGTTGTTGTGATTACGGCCAAGAGCTGCAGGTGAACAAATCTGGGGGGTTTAATCATCTCAGAGTAAAACCAGGTGTTGGATCTGGAGGGAGAGAAAACCTCCCAGTGGAGCAGGGAAAATGTGTGGGTTTATTGGGTTTTAGCATTCCTTGTTGAACACCAAACCCCGCCGGATAAATCCGACACCGCCCAGCTGGAAGTGGCTTTTTGCTGTTTGTGTTGCAGCCGTTATTTCCCGGAACCAGGAAGGGCCAGGAGAGATGGGAAAGGCTGTGCTCATTCCCAAGGACGAGCAGGAGAAGATGAAGGAGCTGTTTAAGATCAACCAGTTCAACCTGATGGCCAGTGACCTGATCGCCCTCAACCGCAGCCTGCCCGACGTGCGGCTGGACGGGTGAGTCTGGGGGCATGGAATGGGCTGGGAGGGAAGGGACGTTGGGAATCATCCCATTCCAACCCCCTGCCATGGGCAGGGCCACCTTCC